TATTTATCTGTTTTTTAAGAATAATTGTATATATTATAGTTGTACGAATAGAATTGATGCCTGAATTAAAGTTAATCTATAACATTGGTAGAAATTAAGTCTTTATCAGATTACATAAGGGATGTGTTCTGCAACATGTGTAAATTCACAGCTTAAAGCATGAATTATTTTAATATATGTGCATACATATTGGCTGTATTCAGCAGAAAAAAAAATAATTTTGCAGTTGTTGTAAAATTCTTTGATATAATTGGTCTTACGAGGAGAAAATAAATGTATTCCAACATGTATGTATACATATTCAGGTGTTAACATACAAAAAAAAAGTTTGTAATCAAAAAGTCTGTTGATGTTAAAACAATAACAATCTCAATACATTATAAATACAGTATAATTATCATAAATATTGAAAAAAAATGTTTAGGCGAACATAGTTGCGCTCATGGACGAGACTGATGCGGTATGTAACACGATGATCCAGGAGCAATTCAAATTGACGGCAAATTATGTGCGTCAGATGACGGATCGAATACTGCGCTTCTGTCCGGACGCCCTCGTGGCCGTGTTCGCGCGTCCTGTCACCGCTACGCTTGCAATGGTCTCGGAGATCTTCCGGTATTCCGGCTGGTGGGATCCCGATCGGATCATCGGCTCAATCGCGACATACAGTGGACGAATTGAAAAGATGACGGCGGCAATCCTCAACTTGGAGCATGCGAGTCTCTCGGTGCCGCTGGCCGGTGGCGCCGACGCACAAACCGTCGTGCCGTTACTGTCGCGTGCTCTTCCCTTTAATCAATTCACAAACGTACGAATTAGTAAAGCATGTTCTACAATGTGCTTTTTATTTCCAGTTTCTTGCTTTTTGCTATTTTTTACATTGTTTTTTTTACATTATCTTGTCTTTTTGCTTCTTATTCAATTTTTTATTTTATATCGCCTGAGATAAGAATTAAGACTGTTCTCCGAAAAAAATCTATTTTCTTTAGAGTTTTCTGAAACTTTCAGAATAAGCTTGTTTTAGAATCCTGAACACATATATATGTGTTTTAAAATTCAATATCTCAAGCGGGATTAAAAATCGAAATATTCCACTTCAGAATTGAAACGTTTAAAAAATATATAATATACATATATAATATGTAT